ACCACATAATAGAGCTTACAACATTGCTCCACGTAACATTTCTCTGATTTGTGAGAGGTACGGTACGGAGAGACTCTAAGAGATGAAGTGGTCAAATGTAGTTTGGGAGTACAAAATTAACCTGAAACGTGGAAAAGAGCTGGCGGTACCAAAGACCTGCAGATTAGAACGGATCAATAGAGATGTTATCTACGCGTATTTGGAGCTATATTATTAGTTGAAGTTTACTGTCACTAAGTGGACCAGTACAGTAGAGTTGCTTGGTTGATAGTTAATTAATGTTTACAGAGCATCATTTTGCAAAAAGTTTGGAAGGGAGAGAAATAATTAATGAGTGCAACAAAGAGGGGAAGCAGAGATAATTTAATGTGGATAGTAATTAAAGAGAGTGGATGTCTGCTTTACTTTTGGACAGACAAAGGGTGGCTTACAATGCTTCAGGCTTCCCAGACCAAATAATTATACATAAACAAAACCAAAGGGTTTATCTTTATAATATGTACACAAAAAGAAGTCATTTATTTCCTTGTTTGGGGCAACACCCAAGAACAACTTTGGCCCAATATGCAACTTCTCTCTCTCTTGGTTTTGTAATTAAATTGCCATAACATTGTCCATTTTGTTGTCTCTTGGGACCTTCTTGTCACCCAAATTAATGCAAAAACTTGGTAATTATATCATACACACACCATCATCTACGAAACTTCCTTTGCCTCTCCCATGTCGGTTGCACTCCCAAGTTTTCTTCTTTTTTTCTTTTTTCTTTCTCATAATCAGTTCGTCAATGAGGAACCCCGGCTACGTGTCTCGCGGGGCTTGAATCGGGAAGGGGTATCCCCATTCGGCCATAAACCCACTACGCCACCATCTACAGATGGTCACTCCCAAGTATTCTTAACTTAAGAGATAGCCATTTTTTAGTCTAATTTTTTATTTTTTTTTATTATTTGTATCCAATTCGAAAATGGGTTATTGTTTCTTAAACAGTCAGTGCGACGTTCAAATGAAAGCGTGCGTTTAGATGGAAACAAAAGTAGGATTTTGAAGGGTATTTTTGAAGGTTTAAAAGAGAGAAGAAGGGTGGTTTTTGGGTGGGAATGGTATGAATGGAAAAAACACCAATAATTTTGAAGAGACAATGGATAGGCTTTTTTATCCACACAACACAAGTGCATATGATGAATGGTTTGCAATAGAGTTGTTTGGTACTCTTGTTGGCTTTCTTGTTGTCCAACACTAGTACGGTTTGCAGCTCAGCTAAGCCACCATCCACTTGCAAAATCTCATACCCAACAAAAAAAAGAAAGAAAAAAATTCATTTAATTTGGTCAAGTCAACAACAAAATCATACCAAAATTAACCATTCTCCATTAATTATGTAATGTTAAGTTCATTTCATAACTCAGACACAATTAAATTGAAGTGATTTATTCCCCCTTGCTTTCTTGAGACACAAACTATAAGTAGGATTTGAAACAAAAAGAACCTACTTGATGTGAATTCACCCTAAACTAGAAGATTGTCCCAATGCCAAACATATCATTACAACCAAAAAAGGGTTTTCTTTTCGATGCCCCAAACACGTGACGTTTCGTTTAAATTCAATAGATCTCTTACTCTCTTACCCATTACATGCAAGTAGATCAATTTAATGCAAAATTTTGATTAGCTATGCATTTTTAACCCTATAATTTTATTTTTTATTTTTTTGGAATTGTGGTGTAATAAACTATAATAGGGAATTTGGGCATATGAAAAATATTAAGAGTGGGGAAGAAGGAAGATAGATGAGGCTGGAACCAACTCACAAAATTTAATTAAAAAAAGAAACACACAAAACCATGTGAATTGTGAAACATGTACTGTTGGACGCGCATGCAAAGCAATGCATGAGGGACAAAACCCATAACAAAACACAATACTAAATTAATACTATTTTAATTAATCAATCAATTAATTAATTAATTATACTCTCTCTCTCTGTTTTTTTTTTAATGTGTAGTAATTATGAGTTTTTATAATCTCCAAAAGAAAAAAGAAAGGGGTCTAAAAGGCCAAAGCATTAAAGAGGGGAATGGCCACAGCCACAGCCACAGAAAGGCCAAATTTTTGGGATTGGGGAAGTGAAAATTTTATAAAAATAAAACTTCCATTTATTTAATTTAATTCCTGCATTAATTCCAGGCAATGGAACCAACTATAAAATATACCACACAACATTATGTTAAACTAATGGTTCAATCTGACACAAACCTCAGTCAAAATAATGCTCCCAAATGCCTCATTATAAAATTCCACTATTTCGTTACTCTTTTTTTTTCTCACTCTTTTGAATGTAATTTCAAAAGAAACCCTAAAAGTTATACTCTATGTTATATACGCAAGTTAATTGATATCTATGCAAAACTTGTTAACTTGTTTGCATTTAGCCTATTAGCTGTTAGCATTGTTAGAGCAAGGAGTTTACTAGAATTATTATCTAGTTTCAATCTAAACCCACGTAGGATTATTTACTTTAAATTATACATTTGGTCTCTTTGAAGTTTAATACTTCAAAAGAGTTATATGTTTCTAATCCACAGGTCGTGAATGACAGAAATTTGTTGTCTTTACTTGTAAAATTTACGACTTTCATCCTCATTAACCAACAATGTTAAACTTTTTGTCGCATCCTCAACAAACCTCTCGAGTTTTTTAAAGTCTTGGAAAAATGAGTGGTTTGAAAGAGAGTAAAAGAAAAGTGGAGAAGAAAAAAAAAGGCAAAATACATTTTTGGTCCGACAGATTTGGAATAGGTGTTGATTTAGTCCGAGCAGTTTCAAAATGGACTTTTTTTTTTCTGATAACTGAGAGTTGGAGCTTTGCTTCCCTATACTCAGGGGCACCGCGCGCGCCCTAAGACTCAAACCCGGGAGACATCAAGGATTTTTTGTATTAAGCTCACCAGAAGGTTTAAACCTGAAACCAATAAGCCTAATATGACCCAGAAACTCCAAACCCTTGCCAACTGGATCGTCCTTTGGGAGCTTTCAAAATGGACACTTTAGGTCGAGTCTCAGCGAAAGGAAAGGCATGGGATGAGAGGAGTGGGGACAGAATGGTTGGAGAAGGTGAAAATGGGGGATATGGGGAAGGGGGAAAGGAGCGTGTGAAATTTAAATCAAATGTTTCCTTTGAATACAGCAACTTTGTCTACTAACCAATGCTGCCTCAGGGCACACCTTGATAGGCCATAACCCCCACATGTTTTCTCTTCTTCTTCTCCTCTTTTCTTCTTCCTTTCAAAAAATTCAATCATCAACTCTCCCTCTCTCTTGCACAAAGCTCAAGAATATGAAGATGCTATATCCCATACTTCTCAGTTTATTATATTCCCTTCCCTATACCTCAATGCCTTCAACTTCTCTTCATAATACTACTATATCACATCACTCTTCTTGTTGTTCTTCACTTTAAAAAGAAAAAGAAAAAAAAAAGATACCCCCCATATCTTATTGTCTAGAACATAAAAGGGCTGTCCATACTTCAAAAAGTTTGCATCTAATTTGTACTAACAAACAAAGCCAATCTATTGTTTTGGTTTTAGAAAGAAGAGGGGTTTCATATTTATATATATGAACATATCAACTAAAAGTTGTGAACCTTTTGGCCTTTTTGTTTTCATGAAATATATATACCTTTTGCTGATCTTTAGTGGGCATTTCCCTTTTTTAGTTTTATTGATGATGATCTTGAGATACAATGTGGTGTCATGTATGTTGATATATATAGATAATATATAATAAAGTTTTGTGCATATATCTAAATGAAAATGAAGTTAATGGAAGAAAATTAGTTTGTGAGGGGACTTTTGTGATTCTATATAAAAAAAAATTATTTTTAGTTAATTTGAGATAAAATTTGTGTGCATGGAAGAATAAGTAGGAATAGTATATTTAAAAGAAAAATACTTGGTTCTTCATCGTCTACCAATACGAGACTGGTCCGGAGTGAAGTACGCTCCAATTTAAAAAGTGACAAAAACAAAATGCACGAAGAGAGAGAAAAGTAAAAATATATTAATCACACTCGGTGGGAGTGCTACAAACTTGCAATTCAAATGGTAATAAAATAGGAGATAACATGCCTAGTATTTTTACATTCTAGTGAAACAAACAGAAAACCAGAGTTTATCAAAGAAAAAGAAAAAAAAAAACAGAAAACCAGCTATCAGATTCCTTTGGAAATTAGTCCAAGAATTGTAGTAGGATTCCAAACAAACATTCCCAACCCATGATGCAAAGAAAGAAGGAAAAAAAAACTCTAATTAATCTATTATCATATCATTATTTTATTTAGCATTATCCTATTGGTTTAATTTTATGTCATATATAAAAAAAGGTTGATTATCATTCTTTATGTTGCAATGAGTCAGTCAACCATAAACTCGTTTTCTAAGAAGCAAAGATTCCAGAGTCCACAATTTTCTTTACCCCAAAGTATTCCTTTTTATGTTTTTTAATGGATGGGAGTGGGAGATGCTCTCTCTTTCTTTTATTTTAGATACTCCGTCATTCCCGTATGATGTAATGATATTATCATGTGAGAGACCAAACAAAAACAAAAACAAAAAATCTTTTTTTTTTTTTTGTGCCTAAAGAGTTCTAATTTCCTAAACTTGATCATAAATTCAGAAGTTTCTGAGTAATGGGTCAAATTTGATGCACACACAGTACTGACAAGCACAGGAGAGATTATGATCACAAAGGAGTAATTGGGGTTCAAAGTTTTGTTAAATTAAAAGTTGGGTTTTTTTTTTTCCTTCTTCCCCAAATGCATCCTGTTTTATGGGGGTGGTGGTGTAAATTAAAGAACTTATAGAGGAGGGGGGAAGAGAGAGAGAAATGGTGGTCCACGCGTGCGAAGGGTGTGAAGGTGGGCGTACGAGCGTGCTGAGGTACTCGCACTCACGTGCGAGGAAGTTTATATATACGCACTGAGAGAGAGAGAGAGTAGTGGCGCAGCAGGCAGAAAAGGGTGTGGCCTTTCATATTTTGTATTGTTCTGTGACACTTGTATAGGTTGGGGGAGCATAGGGACACAGAACAAGAACAAATAGGATTCTTTTTTAGTTTTCAGAAAGGCCTTCTGATTTGTGACCAACAAACAAATAGGGGGATTGTGGGAAGGAATTAGGAAACAATCACTAGGGAGATTTTGGTTTTGTTTTCTAGAGAATACCCAATAGCGATGGAGGTTGAGAATGAAATGAGGCAATCCAAGTTCAGAAGAATTTGTGTGTTTTGTGGGAGCAGTCAGGGCAGGAAAAGTAGCTACCAGGATGCTGCCATTGAGCTCGGCAAGGAATTGGTATTCTATTTTCTTTTTGGATTTCCTCTTTTCTTTTGTTCTTCTTGGGCTTCAAGCAATCCCTGGGTTTTCCGTTCAATCTTTTGGTGGGGGGTTTTTCTTTCTCAGCCTCTGAATGTGGTTTTCATCTCCCTGCTTTTTACTTTTTCTTTTGAGCTCATTGTCCATAAATGGTCGTTTTTATTCTTCCCATATTCGTCTCCTCCTCCTCCTCCTCTTTCCTTTGATGTCTATTCAATTCTCTGCTTCCTCTGTTCTTGTCATAACTGTCTATCAAAATCCCCCTTTCAGTTTTCTTTTTGTGGTTTGTGTTTTTTCTGCCATTTAAATGCTTTTTGGAATTTTCCTATCCTCTTGTTGACATGGCTTTAATTGTTGAAGGTTTCGAGGAGCATAAATCTGGTGTATGGAGGAGGAAGCATAGGACTAATGGGTTTGGTTTCTCAAGCTGTTCATGACGGTGGAGGCCATGTCATTGGGTAAGCAAAGCTTAAGAGACTAAAATATTGAAAACACCACTGAAAAAGTTAAAAGGACAAGAGTGAGTGAGTGAGTGATTAAGGGAAGGGGAGAAAATTATTGAGTCGGTTCTGTTTTTAGGCCTTGATTTTTCATATAAATAAATAACTAATTTTTTGTCTTCTTCTTGTTTTTCTTTTTTTTTTTCCTCTTTCTTTTTTCTCTCCACAGAGTCATTCCCAAGACGCTCATGCCTCGAGAGGTATGTCTGCTACTGCTAGAAACCTCGCTTAACCTTTTCAAATTATACCAAAAATAGACTGAATATTGCCTTTATTACCTCACTTTTCTCTGAGCTGCTGTTTACAAACTTGCACCATATTTTCTTCTTCTCTCTCTTTTTGCTTCATAGCTACTTTCTTCTTCCCCTTCTCACTGATTTTACTCCTCCATTAATGTGTTTTCTCTTGCTATTTTCTAAGTGGTTCTCAAGAGATATGTCTCTCTTGTGGGCACTTGAATATTTGGCACCAAACAAATGGTTGGCTACAGTTATAGACACATAAATATTTGGGGATCTTCTGTTTAACTATTTGAATGATTCCATGTCAACCCCCTCCTAAGAGTATTTGTTTCATTGTTTTTTATTCCTTGGCCTTTTCCTACTAGTGAACATTTTCTTTTATTTTATCTCCTTTTGAGCTTGAAATATTGTGGCTAGGGAATATCTGACCAAGAAATTATTCCTGCAACACCCATCATTACTTTACTGCAAAACTCTCTCTCTATCTCTCCATTTCAAAAATTTTCTTACTTTTTTTTTTCTTTGTGCTATGTTTTTCCTTTTGCAGCTAACTGGTGAAACAGTAGGGGAAGTGAAGGCAGTTGCAGATATGCACCAAAGGAAGGCTGAGATGGCTAAGCATTCAGATGCTTTTATTGCCTTACCTGGTTAGTATAAGCCCTGCACCACTTCCTCTTGCACTGCAATTTTGAAGCATCTTTCTATTTTGTTGCTTATCAGACAGAGCATTTAAGATTTGACCAAATATCTTTCTTTCCAATAATGGGACAAAACCCCTTCTCTAATATGATCTCTGTGAATCTGTGTAAAAGTAGATAAGAACCATAATAAAACTAAGAGATGAATGATACTCTTCCTTCATTGCTTTTGGATATGGCTTCTCTCTCTTGAAAAGTTCCATGTTTCTTGGCTGAATATCTTTGTTTGTGCAAAGAGAGTAAAGAAACGGAAAGACCAAAAAGAAAAAGGAAAATTATTTTGCTTTCGGTGCCAGCACTTTTTATGTTATTTTGTCCATTGAAAGCTCTAGTTTAGTCCCTTTCTGATATTGAAGCAAAGAATCTGTATTATCATTATTTCTTTTTCCTTTTCCTTACTCTTTCCTTTTTTTTTCCTTCTCTTTTCAAGTCAAACTGAACGTTATCTTTTACTTCAATGGCTTCTGTTTGGCTTTGGGGCTTTTGCTTGCTAGTCATAATTACTCATCAACAACTCCTCACGAACCCCAAGACACAATGATTATTGTGTAGCCTTTCAAACCCTAACACTTGACTAATGACCCATCAACATCTTACACTGAAAAATAGAGTTACTGAAGAAGCTCCAATCTCTGTGATAAAATACTCCTGCTTTCCCACAATGTTGTCTCATGACCTTTGATCTTACAGTTCCAAACTTCTATTCTGCTCACATTTAACATGACAAAAACACCACTCATATTGCCAAATAAATTATTTCTCATCTGCACTAAAGAGCTGTGTTTTAAGATAGAATGGCCTGGCCAAAAATGCCCAATTCTCTGCTGAGATCATCTCATGTGGGGGAGAGATTATTGCCTGGCCAAAAATGCCCAAAATAATTCTCTGCTGAGATCATCTTTTGTGGGGGAGAGATTATTAAAGGCATGATAAAAATAATAAAGCCTTCTTTCAATATCTCAACCATGCATCTAACTGTCATAATAGCCAAACTGAGTAATTTTTAGGGGAATTTCCATCATAAATTCTGGGGACAACTAAAATGGTGAACAACCGGATGATTAGACCGACCCATCACATTGCCAACTGCAACCAAATATATACTGAAATTTATGACCAGAAGATTGGATTATCCTGTATATGCTTATTCTTGTACTGAAATTGCTCAGCAATTGATATTGAAGGGAAAATTTTTAGTACCATGTACAATATACTCGTGTTTGTTGTAAAGTACATTTAATTAACTTCAAACTGATACTTGATTATAGATAATGAATGTAGTAAAACGTTTCCTGCAGGTGGTTATGGGACTCTAGAGGAGTTGCTTGAAGTCATAACTTGGGCTCAGCTTGGAATTCATGATAAACCTGTAAGCTATGCTTCTGTTCTGCATTTCTCTGTCCAAATCATGTTTTCTCTCTTTTTGTTCATTAGGACTGCTACTTTTTTGGCCAAGTAATTAACTTGTGGTGCAAAAATTATAAAATTTTGCAGGTGGGTTTGCTGAATGTTGATGGATACTACAATTCTTTGCTGTCATTTATCGACAAAGCTGTGGAAGAGGGATTCATCAGTCCAAGCGCACGTGAAATAATCTTATCCGCTCCAACTGCGAAGGAGTTGATGATGAAATTGGAGGTATTACTTTACTTTGCAACTACTTTCTTCCAAAATCATTTACATTGGTTTTACCTGCTAGGACTTGGTATTCTGCTGCTATCTTCTCTGTTTCTTGGATCCATTGAAAATTTCAAGAAAAACATGTTTGTTTCCCTAGAAAAGAAAGAGAAGGAACATATTTGTTTTCTTGTGAGAAAAAATGGAGACTCTCTCTATCTGTCATATCTAATAGTAGCTGCTGCTGATTGTTGTAGGATTATGCCCCTTGTCATGAAAGAGTTGCCTCAAAGTTGAACTGGGAAATAGAGCAGCTGGGCTATCTCTAGAAAAGGATATAGAATGGATAAGGAAGAAAGATGGAATCTGAATTTTGGAGCTCTAAATTTCTATTTTGGGGGATTCTTTTTTGTAAATTACTGCAAATTGACCTCAGTAAATGAAGTTTGTTATATTTCCTTCTCCATGAAACACTAATTTCCTTTTGAAATTGTAAGTAAATGATGAGGTTGATGAAGTTTCCCCTCTGAGAATGGGCTTACACTCTACTAACTGAAGGAAAAGAAAAAAACAAAAACAAAATTTAGCTGTGTTTTCATCAATTATTGTTCCTCTCCATGTCTGTATCTGTAAGCTTACCAGGAAACCTCCATTATCATATCCATCGTCTGGGTAAACAAATTCTACTGAATTCAGATATTATGTTATTTCAAGAGAGGAACATGAACATGTGAGTTCCAGTTCAACTTCCAAGTGATCTTGTCAATTGGAAGTATGACATGAACACATCATTTTTTTATATAGTCACATAAACAGATCACAGTGACATGAAAATGACTCTCTGATCTCTAATCTCAAATCTCCTTCTGAGTTCAGAGTGGACATTGAAACAAAGAATCATGGGGACAAACAGTAGTCCACTGAGAGAGAATTAAGTGGCAGTTAAGAAAGAGGAGGAGGGGGGCCAATGCATTACCTGTTTTCATGCAGCTGTTTGTTGTTGAAACTGAGAGATGTTAGATTTGGACAACAGACAGAGAAAGATAGAGAGAGAGCTTAGGAGGAGGGCTTCAGTGTTGGGTGGGAGAGGCAATCGGTGGGGGAGTTGGAAAAAACAAGTGGTAGTAGGATCCATCTCTTTCTAGCAAATGGGAGTGTGACATGTGTCATGGTGGGACATGTCAGCAAGTTCTTTTAAGAAATGGCCTCCAACAAATCTCTGGGAGACATAGGGAGGTGGGTTGGAGCCAATGGAACGGCGACAACTGTCGGTAGTGTGGGTCATGTCAGCACATAATGATCAAACAAAATGGATGATTAGGCTAAAGGAGATGTTGTGGAATGTTAGATGGATGGGACTGGATTGGGATTGGGATTGGGAAGGCCATCATCATTCATCAAAGTGTCCCAGTTACCTTTTTTAACACTTTGCCGGTTGTTTATTTTCACTCGTTTATCCCCAAATTAATTATTAATAAAGGGGGAAAAAAAGAAAGAACTTAGGGACAGCATAAAGTTTGTTGACGAGTCATTTCAGCTGCTCTTTCAAATTCCATCCACTCCAGGCAGATAATAATATAAAGACCAAAACATGTTTATTGATTTAGAAATGGTTTTTACGACCCAAAAGATTCACGAGTCCTTTTTACCATTCAAGCTTTTACTTTAATTGATAGTAATTCAATTCAAAGTTCTCTCCTAGAACAATGGCTACAGGAGTATTACTAAATTTTTGTATTGTGTTGGCATTAAACGAGTCAATTACAGTATTAGATAATTACATACAGATGAAACTAGTCAATTAATATCATAATCTACGAATTACTACATTAATTAATATAAACTAACTGACTTTGAGAATCAAGTTATCTTACAATCAAGCATGCTTACTCAAGAAAGAGGAAGCTAGAAAAAAGAAGACAAAAAGGCAAAATTTAAGACTGAAATTCAATGTATAAACGTTTTGCCCAAAAAAGGAAGGAGAAAAATAGAGATGTGAATCCAAAAGAAGCTAGACTAACCAAAAAAGAGTGATAAGAAGTGGGCAAGTAACAGAGTAGGGATGATGATGGGAAACGAATCTAAATCAAAAGCCATTAATTTGGGTATGGATGTGGATGAACAAAAAGGTTTTGAGGGAGAAGTTTATTATTATGTCAACAATATGATATGAGGATGATCAGTGTTATGTTATCTCATTCTCATGGCCATGGAGGTGGATCTGTCATGGATAAGAGAGAGACCCATCAATTCAATCTCATTCATTGCTTTTCCCTTTGCACCAACACTTCATTAAGGCCCAAATTCTCCAAAATTCAAAACCAAAGCCCATAGTTGAGAGTTGAGAGTTGAGAGTCCTAGAAGATGAAGGCCCAAATTTTTAGTAGTTGAAGGGGTTGTGGGATTTTCAAAATGTCCGTTGTACGTTCTCTATCACTCTTGTCTTTTTCCCTCACCCAACCCCATGAAGAAGAAGACGAGGAAGAAGAAGAAGAACTAACATCAAAGCCAGCTCCACAAACCAACATGTTACTCCAAAGCAATTTCCAGACAGTCGCAAACTGAAAACAATAACATGTTTTATTTCAATACTATATTGCCATGTAGTCGATTCATTATTAACTTAAACACTACTCCAGAAGAACTAAAAAGAATTGGTAGTATTTGACAATGGTTTTTGATCTTGTGCAGAAAATAGAATTATAATAATACTGCAAATCAATGTAACAAATGTAACAGTGATGTTTCAACTTCTTGCAACAGTTGCTTTGAAGCCTTGTTCAACTCTCCCCCATGTTGTTTTGCTTTCACCCATCGCTAGATGAAAGCTTCATTTCGTAGCCAGCTCTACCCCTAACAACTTCTTCCAAAGACCTAACATTCATTTTTCTTCTTATTATAAGTAGCAACCATGTTTCAGACAGAACTGCTCAATTCAAGAAAAAGAACAAAGGGATAAAAATGGCAATCCTAAAACATGGTTCTCACCTGGGATTGCTGTTTCTCCTCACATTCTTTGCTGGATCTCTCCCTTTTCTGGCTGAATCAGCTCTCAAGAAGTACCAATTTGATGTGGGGCTTTCTTCTTTGTTTTTTTTCCTTTTTTGTTCTTACTTTATGATAGGATTTGACACAAATGTAATGGACTTCTTTTTCTGTTTGTTTCTTGGGATTTAGATTCAAGTGAAGAATGTGAGCAGGCTATGCAATGCCAAACCAATTGTCACGGTGAACGGAATGTTCCCTGGGCCGACGATATATGTTCGGGAAGGTGATCGGGTTCTCATAAACGTCACAAATCATGCACAATATAACATGTCAATTCACTGGTATGAATGAACATATTTGTAATGTTAGTGCTAATCCAAGAACTTGGGAATTGAAATGGTAATGTGTGTGTGGTTTTATGGAAAATGCAGGCATGGGTTGAAGCAACAGAGAAATGGTTGGGCAGATGGACCAGCTTATATAACACAGTGTCCGATTAAGACAGGCAACAGCTATACATATGACATTACTGTCACAGGACAACGTGGGACTTTGTGGTGGCATGCCCACATTCTGTGGCTAAGAGCCACAGTTTATGGGGCTTTTGTTATAATGCCTAAACTACAAACTCCATTCCCATTCCCTCAACCATACTTCGAGGCCAATATCATCTTAGGTTGTCTCTCTTCTCTCTTTTTCCATTCAAACAGAAATTAATCAAAACCATTCCCAAACAAGATCAAGATTTTTAACAAAATCTGTAATGCAGGAGAATGGTGGAACTCAGACATTGAAACCATTGTTAATCAAGCCAACAAATTGGGACTCCCACCCCAAGCATCCGACGCCCACACCGTCAATGGCAAACCAGGCCCCCTCTTTCCTTGTTCTGAAAAACGTATGCTCTATTTATCAAAACATACTTGCATACACAACCGTCGCTAGGAATTCTTACCGACTTTTTGATACATCAGAAAGTCGGTAAGAATTCCTACTATGGGGTTGGGTGTGCAGGCAGGCAAGTATTCTTTTCATTAAAAAGAAAACACCTTTAAATTCTTATTTCTAATTCTCATTTTCAGACACATATGCATTAGAGGTAGAGCCAGGAAAAACATACCTTCTCAGAATTATCAACGCAGCACTCAATGACGAGCTGTTCTTCGCCATAGCCGGCCACACTCTCACCGTCGTGGAGACCGACGCTGTCTACACAAAGCCGTTCACTACCTCCGCCATTCTCATTGCCCCCGGCCAGACCACCAATGTTCTGGTTAACGCTGATCAAGCCCCTGGCCGCTACTTCATGGCCGCCCGCCCCTTCATGGACGCTCCCATTCCCGTCGACAACAAGACCGTCACCGCCATTCTCCAGTACAAAGGAATTCCCGCCACCGTCCTTCCTTCTCTCCCCACTTTGCCTCTCCCCAACGACACCAATTTTGCTCTGTCCTACAATAACAAGCTCAGAAGTTTGAACTCCGCTCTGTTTCCCACCAATGTCCCACTCAAAATCGATAGGCATCTTTTTTACACCATTGGTTTGGGGGCAAACCCATGTCCCAGTTGCCTCAACGGCACGCAGCTCACAGCTTCTCTCAACAACATTACCTTCATGATGCCAAAAACAGGGCTTCTGCAGGCCCATTACTTCAAAATCCCCGGTGTCTTCACCACCGACTTCCCCGACCGGCCTGCAGTCCCGTTTAACTACACTGGCGTGCCATTGACGGCGAATTTGGGGACCTCTCTCGGGACGCGGCTGAGTAAATTGGCGTTTAATTCGACGGTTGAGTTGGTGTTGCAGGACACGAATCTGCTGACGGTTGAGTCGCATCCATTTCATCTCCATGGATTCAATTTCTTCGTGGTGGGCACTGGAATTGGTAACTTTGATCCTAAGAACGACCCTTCCAAGTATAATCTGATTGATCCTCCTGAGAGGAACACAGTCGGTGTCCCTACCGGCGGTTGGGCTGCTATCAGATTCCGAGCTGATAATCCAGGTGATCAGTCAATCAATCATCCTTTCATCCTATGCTTAACATATTATTGATAAATTCATATAATGAACATTGTTGGAGGAATTCTAAGAAGGTTTTAATGATGGGGTTCAGGGGTTTGGTTCATGCATTGTCACCTGGAGCTGCACACGATGTGGGGGCTGAAGATGGCGTTTGTGGTGGAGAATGGGAAAACGGCCGCCGACTCAGTTCTGCCGCCGCCGCCGGACCTTCCGCCATGCTAGTGCTTAGATACTTATACTATACACTTCGATACACAAACCAGTGGCTGATACTCATTTTTCAGATTCTACTCTCTTCTTTTCAGTATAAATTGTTGTATCTGCAAAACAAAAAACCAACTCATGATTGTGTTGTGTGAGCAACATATATAATGCCAAAAATTTTTACTCTCTCCATTCTTAAATATGATGGGGAACCAAAATTTGAAATTACCCATACATTTCCCAATACAAAATTCAGGCTTTTTCTTAAAACTTTTAAGTTTATGTTCAAATAAGTCTTTGAAGTTTATGAGTATCTAATACGTCTCTTCATTATTAATTCTCTTCATTATTAATTTTGTATCTAGCAAGTCTCTTCCCTATTAAATATTTAAAAAATCAATGAATATATTAGACATAAAATTAAAATGTTCTAATATGAATTCTAATCCTTCAATTGTATCATATAGGTCCTCAAAATTCAAACCAAAAAAGAATGTTCGTCAAGAATTATAAATACAAAATTAAAAATTTATAGACCTATTAGATATTTTTAAAAGTGCAGAGTCTAAAAGTTGAAGGACTAAACTTATAATTTTTATTGGGTAAATGCTATATTATATGTCTTGCATCATCTACGCATAGACATATCATTTCTATTTGCTACTGTGGACTGTGGAGCAATAGTACCTGTATCTGCAAACAAAAGTTACTTTAAAAAAAATTAATAAATAGCAAAATAAAAAGAAAGAAAGAAAGAAACTAGCTAGTGGCTTTAGTTTGGTCCAAGCCCATTAGGCCGAGGGCCCATAGTTTTGCAGCTTAGAAAGCTGGTCTACTGAATAGGGTCGTTAAAACTTTTGAGCTATGTTGGCAACTACCTTCCCAACTGCTCTAACTTTATAGGTTTTCTTTTTCATAAATATCAACTTCATTGAATAGTGTTACAGCCCATTTAAGCTAAGTTCAATAATTGATGCATAAGTAACATTTTCGGTAGCAAACTTGAGCCTTGTACAACTCGTCATCGAGGTATAAAGTAATCTTTGTTAGAGATTTGAATATCTACCTCACCCATTATTAATGTACTCAAAAAACTGTTTTTGATTTAAGTCATACATCTCCTATCAAAAATCTCAAATTTCAATCTCCACCATCATATATCATTGAACTAAAAAAAATCTCTATAAATAGAATGTTTGAATACTACTTCCACAATTTTGGTGTAATATTCGCAAAAGTAATAATAAATGATAAATAAATAATCCCACAACATATTGTTTGATAACCATCATAGCTTTGAACTCAAAATATAAAATAAAAAATCTTAGCATCAACATTTAATAATTTTGCATGGCTCAAATTATGAATGTGGTTAAACTCAGAAGAAATACAAATGAGTGCTGCTTCCTAAGGTTATTTTACCATTGATGAAAAAGTAGTTACAATTCTTTGCCTAAAAGAAGAGAAAGAAAATGTAGATACCATAATTTCTGCAATCAATGCAACATTCACTAGTCATACAACATAATTATTAAAAGAAAGAGTTGGGGAAAAAACATACACATATAAATTGCAGAATATTAAAAAAAGAAAATGCCTACATGTAATTAATTACAAAAATAGATATTCAACAACAATTTCATCATTTGTGTCTCCTTCTCTCGATCATTTATCAACCACCTTAGTCAAATTTGAAATTTACAAAATAAAGTCTCCTTCCCAGCCACTGTATACAATAATATTGTTTGGATCTTAGTTTGATTTTCAATTATAATTGTTAGTATTTCTAATTCAATACAAGTGGCACTGGCACATCAAGCAAGTTTCAAACTACCAAACAGACAAAACGGGGAAAGTTGTTTTTTTTTTCCTCCACAGTAACAAAAGTCATACGTGAGAAAGAAGTAGTGGGAGAAACAGGGAAAGGGTTAAAAAGAATTTGGAAACTTAATGATGCCAATTTAGACTATATAATTGACAAAATCACTAACGTTGAAATGGGCCATGTCAAAGACCCAATAGATTAGTTAAAACACAATATGGTCTTGAAGTTGAACGTGGATCAATGCCAACCTCATCAAGAAATGGGCATCTATTTCACAAGATTGAGTTGTTATATTCAAAAATTGTGAAGTCAGCCTTCTGTGAGACGACCTATGTCTTTACTTTTACCGATCACAAGCTTACAAACCAAACATAGCTACATAACCTTAAGTTTTCATAACTTATTTATCTATGCAATTCAAATATAAAGACTATAAACATTTCGATTTCTCAACTCTAGACTATATAAATATTTGAGAGTAAAATATCCCTTGACAACTTTAAAGGCTTAATCCTAGAGATGATACCAGACAGGTAACGACCAAAAAGCAAACTAAAATGTTGCAAAGACTTGTGAAGTCAACAGGTTGAATGACCCAAAAGAAAAGCTCTGCAGTCTGCCCTTTTCCACACATTAATTCCAACACAACATAGTGGGGATGTGTTGAAAGCTAATCTTGACTACTTTTAAGCATTAATCCCATTTGATAGCAAGAGTATATGCACCGAAAAACCAAGACTTGCAAACATTTTGTGGTGTCAACTGTCAACAACAAGGTGGAGGAAATGCGAGGTCTTCTCTCAGGCATTTCGTCGAACATGTTGTGGGGATTGTAAAAAGCCATGTGGCAACAACAAACCAATAGTTTTTTTTTTAATATTATTTTTTTAGGGGAAAGGGGCATCTCGATCTTGATTACTGAATCTTGACTAGTCCAGTTCAAAGGGTTAATTAAAAAACAGGTTAAAGATAAGTTTCCAAGGCAAAGGGGGAGACCAAAATACCTTGAAAGTAGAAAATAGAAGTTTCTGTGCGAGGGCTTTGTCGGGGGGCCCGGCTGATGGGTGATGGTTGAAGAGCCTTGATAATCGCATCGAAGCCAAGTTGGGTTAATTAAAAGAGAGAAGTGGGGGAGAGGGCGTAGGGTTTATAGAGCAGCGAGCGTGGGCGTGTCTCTTTTGTTTAAGATAATACTTAAATCAAAGTGGCTGCGCCGGCAGCGCCAGCCCAACCGCCTACGCTGCCGCTTCCCCTCAACCTCCTCTTCCCTCCAACTCCCTCCCATGTGCCAACTAATTATTATTACCACAAATTGCACAAACTCGCGTCGATGGTTACAATTGTGCTTTTAAATTTTCGATTAAAATACTTACCTCCTCATGAAAGTTTCAATACTATTATTGACTTCTCAATAAACGTTTCAAAAAATACTCTTTGAGCAAACATGCATTAATATTTTGAATGAAAAATTGAAGTGGCGGAATTTGAAACCGCGTGGCAGTTAATAGAAGTTTCTCTCGAATAATTAGCTGCAATACAACAAATTCAATCTTTAACGAGTCAATTATGAGTCTGTCATTGTTTATACTCGTTTTTTTTACTTTAATTAAAGGTTAAATTTGTTGTAGTGTTAGTTAATTGTTCACTACATCATTTCAAATTATGTCACATCAATTTTTCGTTTAAAATTTTAATAGATGTTTAATCTTCTTGAAATGTTTAAGAAATGTCAAAGATAAAAGACTGAATTTTTTGAAATAATATGGATATTTTTAATGAAAGGGCAAAGCTAATAATTTTTTCTTTTATTTTTTTATAATTCAGCTTAAAAATTAAATTATCAAGCTTAAGTAATTGAAAAAAATTAGACCCCTCCACTTTTCAACCATAAAAATCAACTTCAAACCTTCATAAGTGAGTAAATTGTACCCCTCAAAACCTATTAGACAATTTTTAAAATTTAAAAACTTAATATACATAATATTAAAAGTTAAAATACTTATTATAATTTTTTTTTTTTAAGTTCAAGGTTATTTGGGAAGGTGTAGACAACAAATTTGAACAAGGAATACGAGTGTGAGTCATGTGGGAGGGTGGGACCCAAAAGAAAGAGTGAAAGCAAGGAACGACAAGTCGGCAAGGACCAATAAAAACGCACCATCGACACAACAACCCAACATAGAAGGCTAAAAGAACGGGGACGTGGGTCCCCGTAAAGGGCAGGCCAAATGGTGGGCCCCGCGTTGGATGGAGGGAGAGTGTGAACCGTTGATTTGACGGAGGGATGGACAGAAAATGACGTCAATTTTTGCTCCCATTAATACGTGGAAGAATCTGTTGTCAGACACGTCACTCTCACTCCAACAGGTGCGGACAACACGATTCCCACCCACACAACACACACAAACGAACTTCTTTTTTCGTTTTTCTTTTCCTTACGTTCCATTTCCACGTATTGTTTTCTAAAACAAAATTAAACCAATAGTTATTTTCATCTTTCTATCAAATAAGATTTCCTCTTCAAAATACAAAAAAAATAAAAATAAAAATAATCCTCAAATTAATAGGAAATATAAGGGTAAAAAATAGTCTATCTCAGGTTAAAAAGCGAGATTGAATTATTGACTTTTAAAATAGTAATATGTATTCTATYCATTAAGCTATGTTCAGCTTGACATCATAGTACAATCATTTTTAATAATTGTATTTTTTAAAACAAATGAATATACATGCAACTTATTTTTAGAAAACGAGATTATTGTACCAAAATTCTTTTTTTTTTTAATTTCTATAAGAGTGGTGTTAATTTTTGAAGTATATTTGTTAGGGGTGAACTAAATGTACTAGGTTCACATGAAGTGAGACTAAGTAAGCAATATGGATCGAGTCATTCGAGTCGGATCACCTGACTAGATCACCTAAACTTAACTAGTCCAAGTTAACCAGACTCGGTCCATTCAAACCAACTCGAGGAGACTCTCCGTAATCTATAAATAAGAGGAAAATAACTTGGAGAGTGAGGTATATACTTTTTGCTATTCTAAACAAAATCTTTTGTTATGTTAGACATTAAAGTATATTGGACTCAACACCAGATCGATGTTCAAAGTCGAAGCTCGGATCCAACTATAATCATGCATGAACATATTTGTTTACTAAAAATAAAGAAATTAAAGAAGAGAGAGGGGGGACATGAATTGGAAATGAAAGCATTATTATGGAGTATTTATTTGTAGTAATATAAGGAGGTGGAGGATATAGCTAGGGTTAGGTTTGAGGTTGTAGTAATTATAACCAAAAGAAAAGAATGATGAGGGAGAAAAAAAAACAGACATTTCAAATTACAAATCACAACCACCTTAAATATCGAACAATTTGTTGCCTTGGCTTGGCTTCCACTTCAAAACTGTCGGGAGAGGGAGAATCAACTGTCCACATAAATTTTTTTTCCCTCTCTTATTCATTAAAACTACTTAAATA